GTGTCTAGTTTGGCTCTCCTTCACATCTGGTGGGAATAAAAGATTATCTTAAAAGAGTGAAGAATGGTCAGCATATATGTGGGACTGAAAAGCAGTTCTGCTTATTAAATTCTATATTGGATTAGATTTTTTTTATATTAAAAAATCTGGTAGAAGTGTGCTCTATAAACAGGCTAACTGTGTATAATGAAAGGATGAATGTTAAGGTCAGGGAGTTGAGACAGCAAAAATTACACCTTGACTTTCTGCCTAGACCAGTGTTTCCCAACCTTTTTTGGGCAAAGGCACACTTGTTTCATGAAAAAAATCTCGAGGCACACCACCATTAGAAAATGTTTAAAAAATTAACTCTGTGCCTATATTGACTATATATAAAGTAACTCTCTTTAATAGGAATCAAATAAACACAAAGATAGTATTTTATAATTACTTTATTATGAAATAGTAAGTAAACAGAAATATGAAAAATTATAAAATACTTTATTCAGTGCGCAACCTGGGCCTGTTTACCATGCGCACAACATCATCCAACACATGAACTAGGTCTGCTGGTAAAGTCTTGGCTACGAGGGCCTCACGGTGCAAAAAACAATGCGTAACAATCACATCTGGATTTCTTTCCTTCACTCTGCTTACAAAGCCTTTGAAACCTCCCTAGATATCATTGTCATTTGCATGCTGTTTCCATAGTTAAAAACCATGCTCGAGGCGGCTTACGACATGGCAATATTTACATAATTACCCAAATGCACTCATAAGAAACCGTATCAAAGCGCCCACAACGAAATTAAGCAATCCCCACACAAGTTATAACGAGATCTATAAAGAGTAGTTTAGTATCACGAACAGCAAGATGGACGAACAGCAAAATAAAATCTTGACTCTAACAACCCCACCCGGCCTAAATCTCCTGCGCGCACCGATGCCCACGCAGGCATTTCCAGCAGCTCTTCCTCCTCCGCCTCTTTTTGCGTTGCCAGCAAAGAAGGAATGAGGAAGAAAAGGCGCAGCGGCGAAGAAGCGCGCCTTCTCAGAATGCCGCTGCTGCCCGAGGACTACATTTCCCAGAATGCCGCGGCCGCCCAGCCGAGATGCGCCCTGATTGGACGGCGTTGCTAAGCCGCTCGCGCCGGGGCTGAGCGTTCGGCAGAGGCGCGCGCCATAAGATGGGCATCGCGCGCGGAGCCTGGCTCGGGTCGCCAATGCTGCGGGCGGACATGGCGAGCTGGGCGGGACTTGGGCGCGCGCTGGGCGCCTGCTGCCTCCTGGGCCTCTTCTGCGGCGCTGCGCTGCCCTTCTCGCTGCAGGGCGCGAACGAGAAAGCGCCCGCCTCCCTCCCACGGCACACCAGGTAACGTCTCGCGGCACACTAGTGTGCCGCGGAACACCGGTTGGGAAACACTGGCCTAGACTGAAATCTTACACAAACTCAAAATGGATCAGGTTTCTTTTTTTCTTTTTAATTAAACATTTTGAGAGCAACCTGGCAATACGTTCTGAAACAAGTGAGGTAGTTATTATGCATAATACATGAATGTGTCACCTAGTTATTCTATGAGATTTCCCAAGTCCTGAGCGTCTTCATCTCAGAATAACTCTGCTGATCTGTGTCCATCAGCCTACATTCTGACATAAACAGACCAAAGGAAGCGAAGAGGTTGGGTTGCTTTTACCATCAGTGCATAAGTGAGAACTAACCTAAGGTTACCAGACGTCCCCGTTTCCCAGGGACAGTCCCTGGATTTACAAATCAGTCCCCATACAAAATCCATTGAAGTTGAAAAGTGTCCCTGGATTCATCGAAAAAAATCTGGTAACCTTAAACTAACCTGTGAAGGAAAAAGTTGTAATGTGTAGAGTTCAGTAGTTCTTTAAAAAATATATTTCCGAGATAACTGTTGAAAAAGTATTGGTGCTAAGAACATATGAAGAAAATGGCTTTAAAACACCTTATGGCATTCTGCCTGTAAAACTATGTAGACCCAGCCCTGACCTGCACCTAGCCAATCTATAGCACATTGATTATGGAATTCATTGCTATGAGATGTGATGGCCATTCCCTTAGATAGCCTTAAAATGGGACAATGACTGGATAGTACCTCTAAATTCAGAAGCAGCATGCCTGTGAATACCAGTGGCTAGGGAACACAAGCATCTGGTTGACATTAGGAAACAGGATGGTGGACAAAATAAACCCTGGATGTGATCTAGCAGGGTTCTCCTTTTGTTCATAGCTGAGAGATCATTTGAGAATGCTATGCTACTGCTCTGAGCAACTCGAAGGACACATTGCACAAATAAGTTCATACTTATCTTTTTAATGCTTTTAGAAATGTGAGTCTTTGTACTGTTGGGTGGTGACATATCTTGGTTACATGATGCTAATATGTTTACTCATGTGTGACAATTTATCATCCTCTCAGAATTGTTTTCCTACTGCTAAAATTCCTCTCCCCCCCCCCCCATTTTAGTATTCATTTTCAGAATACTTCAATGGGTTTGTTTGCATTAAGCAACATTGAAAAATAAAGATAATTGCAAACAACAGAGATTAATCAAGCAGAAAATTTTATAAACATGGATTTCAGAATTGAACATAATAAAAGGCTTAAAATATCAGTAAAATTATAATATTTATTACTTTGGAAAGCACCAAAATCTCAATTATAAAAACAAAAATAAAGTGATTATATGCAATTCATTTTCATACATAAAATATTTAACTAAAAGTTTTGCAAGTTTGTTAAATGGGGAGGTGTTATGCTTTTATTTGTTGCTCATGTTTTCAAACAATACTAACTAGACATAACTAGTTCTATGATGTGACAAATATGAAGGGCTCTTATATTCTCTGTGCTTTCCAAAATGTCTTCCTTCTCACAAGTTTTGGTGCAGTATCACTGTAGTCCAGTAAGTTTCTGTTGTTTCTTATACTGATTCATTGCAGAGGGACTGATTGTTAAACTCCTCTCAAAATTATAGCTCTGGGAGAGGAATAGAGATCGCCTAACAACTCTTAGCCCCCTGAACAAGCTGCTGCTCCCAGTATTCTTTGGGGGAAGCCATGTCAGTGTAAAGGGGTATCATAGCACTTTAAATATATGGTGTGAATGTGGTCTCCATGTGAAAACTGTATACCAGGTCAAGAAGACACAAGGGCCTCTTTAGTATATCATGTTCCACAGTTTGAATGCTTAAAATAAGATATGGAGTTGTTTCATAGGTACAATAAACCATGATTTCCAAAACTCCAGTGTTAACAAACATATAAGTTGGTGCAAAAACCACCACTACCACCAAGGTCACTTAGACAGCTGATTATCTGATTGTCTGCTATCTATAATTAATTAATTAATTAAGTTTATATACCACCCGTCATCTAAAGATCACAGGGCAGTTCACAGCATAAAAATCCAAAATGAGAACACAAAATACATAGGAAAACAAAAACAAACCAATATCCCCCCCCCACAAATTTAAAAGACCATAGTATGTTAATCAGCACATTTCAGAGAATTTTTTTCACCTGGCACCTAAAGACAGATAATGAAAGCGCAGGTGAGGTGTGTGTGAAAGCTTTCCACAAATGGGGAGCCACCACAGAAAAGGCTTGCTCTTGTGTTCCCACTGTCAGAACCTTTTGTGGAGGTAACACATGAAGAAGGGCTCCATTTGATGAATTGCAGGGTTTGGGTAGGTCATATGGAGAAGGGGGTCCTTGAGGTATTGCAGTCCTGAGCCGTTAAAGGCTTTATAGGCCAAAACCTGCGCTTCAGATTGGGCCCAGAAACCAATTGGCAGCCAGTGCCATTGAGCCACAATCAGTGTAATATGTCCAGCACACCCACTTCTACACCTGCTGATGTAAAGGAAAAGTAGAGCTGTGTGCCATCATATTGCTGACAATGTACTCCAAAATTCTGGATAACCCAACTCAGCAGTTCCATGTAAATGTTAAGCATAGTATGTGATAAAACTGAACCCTAAGGAAACTCATATTGAAGAGCACTCCTCAAGCGCCGGCCTCTGGAAGTGGCCATCCAAATAGGACCAGAACCACTGCAAAGTTGTGCCACCCGTCCTTAACTCGGGCAGCTGCTCCTGAAGGATACCATGGCTGATGGCATTGAAAGCCGCAGAGAGATCGAGTAAAATGAACAGGGACATATTTCCTCTCTCTCTCTCTTGACAGAGGCTATCATGCAGGGTGACCAAAGCAGTTTCTGGGCCAAAATCAGACCTAAACCTCAATTGCAATGGATCCAGAAAACAGTTTCCTCCAAGTGTGCCTAGATCTGGTCTTTGATCATTCACTTAAGAACCTTGTCCAAGAAGGGGAGAACGGCAGTAGTTATTTTGAAGAGCTGTCGAAACACATGTTCCTGTTCAGGGCTACAGGTGCTCTTTGATGCACACAGGAAGAAGTACTTTTACATAGTCTCTGTTGAAATGAAAGGGTGACTTTGTAGGTTTGGAACTCCCATCTGCACAGTGGTACTTCCCTGCCCATAAGAAGCCAGTGGGTTGAAAAGGAGGAGGTTGCAAGTAAGACCAAGGGGCACAGAAGTGTTCATAGCCGTATTATAGATTGAAGTGCTTTTTTAAATTTATAATGATGGTGTCCTAAAAGCATCTGCTTAAGATGTGTGATAATTTTTAAAGTTTGATATCAATTCCATATGTTCTTATAACATGCTGTGTTCATGCTGCACTTGTCTAAACATGTTGATTAAAAGTAAAATCATAGTTTTGGTTATTGGGTTTGACATCATTGGAAAGATAAGGATTATGACTAAGCAGCAGTGCCTGAAGCAAAAGTTTAAATGAATTCTAAACATACATGGTGGTGTGTATATATATTTAAAGTGCATGTTTCAGACTGGGGCATCTTACACATGGCAGCTGAAGATGAACACAATCAAAGGTATTAAATACAGACAATCTCTCTCTTAGTGGTTAATAGTACTTATATTAAAATATCTGTCTGTTCCTATAGGCATGGAACCCGTTGTGCTGGAGAAGTAGCAGCTAGTGCAAACAACTCACACTGTATAGTTGGAATTGCATATAATGCCAGAATTGGAGGTAAGTGTAACTGTTGTCTATGATTAATGTAAAAACCTAAGAGCAGAATCATAAGCAGGCTTGCTCAGAAATAAGCCAGACGAGGGAGAGAAAACACTCTAAAGCTAGACACAGTGCAGCCAGTCGATGGGATAAGGCTGCTGCCTCAGGCAGTGGAAGCCCTCAAGGCGGCACCCCACCTGCCCCACCAATTTTGGGTGAGATTTAGCGGTGTGTGAAAAGACTCACCTGAAATCAGTGCCGATGCTGTCAGTGGAGGTGGTGGAGAGGGCGGTGCCGGCAGCAGTGGCAGGGCAGCACTTCCTGTTTCATCTCAACTGGTGAAATGGGACATGACGTCCCTAGCTAGACATGAGATTTGTTCAAGGTGTATTTTGGATGGGGGGAAACACATCCTCAGGGGCCATGAGACAGGGCCAAGCACCCACCTCAGGCAGCGGAAGTGGGAGAGGTGGCACTGTGCTCGCTCCACTGCTTCTACTGTCAGTGCGGGGTGTGTGGCGTTGCTGCTCATTTCCCTGCCCCCAGATGGAGAAGCCAAGCGGCAAAGCTTTGAGGAGTGCCCCAGATCCTGCCAAGCTCAGCAGGAGCCCCATGTTGCCACTCCACTCTCCCCCTGAGCAGGGGGTGGGGAGAGAAACTGAGCGGCAAAGTTTTGAGGAGCCCTCTGGCTCCCACCGCGTTCGATGAGAGGTGGGGTGCAGTGGCAGTGGTGGCCATGGTGGGGGCACAGGTGGCCAAACGGGATGGGCTACGCTTGGTCAGGGACACTGTTTCTAGAAGCACATCTCAAATGCAAAACCTATGATAATGTTGTTATATCATTATATGCTACCAACTAGTGTTGGAAATTAGTTCTTTGGCTAGATGGCTTGTTGACATGGCCGAGTGAGGCAGTTTCCGCTAGTAGTACATGGGTTCAATCCACACATACTAAACCAACCTATCTATGGCTTAGCACGAATGAGCGTATGTCCAGTTTCCCTGAATGAAGGATGGAGCTACTCCGCCTTTGATCTTGCTGCTGCCATACCATCCACTCATGGCTAAGTAATGGTTTGGCTTAGCATTACGACATGAGAACTGGGTTAATGTTTGCCTGTGTTGTTTTTTACAGCCCTAGTCCATCCAAATGTTTTAACAGCTAGATTGTTGCTTTGTTGCTGTTTCTGAAGTTACAGTGGAATTTAAATTATTTGTTATTTGCTAGGCTGAATCTCAGTTAGAGGACAATTCCTGAGTTATGGTGAACAAATTTAGATAGTCTATCCAAATAGTTACAATAATTTCTGTTGCTTAAGTGTGCCTAAAAGTCAATGTTATGGGACATGCCTGGCTGCCATTAAAAATAGTGATCCTGTTTCTCCTCCTATAATTCCCAAGGATGCAACATTGTGTTGCAAGTTGTTATCACACCCTGTGCTTCCTCAGTTTCATAAGCAACAGGCAATGAAGTGAAACAGGAGCATGGAATCACATCTTCGTGAGTTTTTTATGTTACAGGGGAATAGGATATACAGACTTGTTCTTTTTTGTAGTAGCTGCACATCCTCTGTAATTTATAGTACCAGCCTACCGTTCTTGGCTTAAAGTCAGTAATGTTAAGTGAAATTCTTTATTTCAACATTTTCAGGTGGTTTTTTCCCCCTTTCATTATTCGGCTCAATAATGCCACTTTAATCTTAGTATTTCAGCTAATACTGAAGGAAGAAAATAGCATTGTTGTTACCTAGCTAAGTTCTACATTGAGTAGACCCATTGAAATTAATGGACCTACGTTGCTCAAATCTATAAATTTCAGTAGGTATGACAAATGTTGAATACAACCCATTTTATGAATAACAATAATCTGTTAAAACCTGTGAACAAACTTGTGCTTTATGTTGCCAGAACCAGATTTCACTGTCTCAAGCTTAACTGGCTGATAGACAATTAAGATTTTCCTGTCACTAGAAACCCAAAATGTTTTGAAGAATGGTCTGTTATTGGAAAAACAAACAGTATGTTGGAGATTGTCCGTCAGGGTATATCTATTTGAAATATTCAATGAAGAATCTTTTAGCACCTTAAAAAATAGCAATTAATAAAATATTATCAGAGGCTACAGTTATTTTACTTACTCTGTTTATATAACAGCCCATAACTGAAGATCTCCAGGAAGCTCACAAAGGAGAGAAAAAAATGTACAGCACAATAACACTATAACATATTAATTCAAAACACAAAACACAATTAAAAACTTAACATAAGAGGCTTATGTGTTATTTAAAAGGCCCAAGTGAACAGAAAAATCTTCACCTTGTGCTGAAAAGACCAACAGGATTGTACCAGGCAATCCAGTTAAATAACGTCAAACTGTAGGCAAACAATAGCAACTACTTCTCCAAAGTGCACATGATTTGCCAGCATCGTTTTCCTGCATCTCCACTTTTCTAGGCTGAATGCTTGGAAGGAACTTTTCTTGGGTCCTGGGCCTGCCGCTGCCAGACCAGACAGCGCAGACCAATGGTGTGACTCAGCAGCAGGCAGCTTCCTATATTCATAACTTGCTTGCTCTGATTATTTACATCCTTAAGATAAAAGTAAAAGGGTTGCGACCTGAATTAATGTTTGTTCTTTTTCATAAAGTAAATTTCACAGTGAGATCAGTATTTGGACAAGTGGGACCTCGCAAAGCATGAGCAGTTTTGTTTCGAATCAATTAGAAAAGGGGGGGCGGGACTTTTTCAATAGAACAGCCGGGCTTGGGTTAAGAACTGAATAAACACTCAAGCTAATTCATAGCAAAGATGGGAACAAAGCTGTTATGTTTTATAATTAAAAGATGCTAATTTGGTTTATAAATAGAAACATTTATAACTTGCAGGTTGTCAAGACATGGTATGCTGTCTGGTTTAAGTTGAATCTCTGCTCTGGCAGAATAATAGAAACTGCATTTTAGAAAATAATATTGAGAGTCCTCAGCTCATATTAGATCCAAATATGATGCCACTCTTTGAATGAAGGCACGTTTTATATAAGCAATGAATTGGATTCATGTATGGTTCTCCAAGCCTCCCCGTCTGCTCCTCTGTGTAAATAATCTCCTGGCAGTGTGCAGTATCTCCCGTGTCAAATGCCATCCTCCACCTGCCTGCTAAGTTCCTAGGCTAGGGTTTTGCTCTGTGTCCCATCACTGTCCAAAGTCCAGAGGAAAAGGCCTTTTTGGAAGTGACACCTACACAGCCTTTGGACTGTGTTGTTCCAGGAGGCATCCCTAGCTCCAGGGCTGTTTAAGCAAGCATATGAGCCAGATAATGGCTGGATGGTCTGGCACTTCTATTCTTCTGCTGATGCTTTAGCTTACGCCTTTGATAGAGTGATTACTCTTATGTGATTTATTGTATTGTATTTTAAGTATTGTGAGCAGTCTTACATCCCCTTTATAGATAAAAAGGCAAGGGATATATTTAGTAAATAAATAAATGCCTCAAAGATAAAGAAACTGGAATTCTGTGGGTATATATAAATGTGGAGGAGGTGCCCATTTCTGGTGTATGCTAAATTGCAGCAATACAGAGAGGTCTGTTCTTGAATTATTGGTTGCTGTTACTTTATCCTTGGTTACTGATTAGTTTTGCTATGGAGTGAAGACATTACACAGAGTGTAATGAAGAGGCTGCGAAGAGCCATGTGTTTGTTAATAAACATGGAATGCCTCTCCTGATGTGAATCTGCAACTGAGACTCTTCTCCACATCCCTTTTTGGAGGGAGGCATAGAAGAAGAAATAGGTGGTTAAATATGTGGTTAGTTGGTTGGAAACCTTTTGTGTAGCAAGTGACTAACAAGTTTGATAAATAGTTGTAGCAATAATAAATAAGGTCAAGAAACCATATGGTAAAAAACCTTCCCATATAGTAAATATATATATCTAACACTATTCTAAACAGGCAACCCCAGGGTGGCGTACAATAATAACAACACAATGTAATACAATACAAGCAAAACATACCACACCATAGGCCACCATAGGCCACTTCTTTTCTGAACACACTTCATCAGGTGACATCACTCAAATAAGGGCCTCAGTGGAATTCACCTTATATCTATCTATGCTTCAAGAATGAATCAAGCTCAGTTAGGCATAGTTAGGCTTGAACATAGCGGGACTTACTTCTGAGTAAACATGGATAGGGTTTGTGAACAATAGACACAGGTACATGAAAGGAAACAGACAGCAAACAGAACAAACATCCTCACAAGGCTGGTGTCAGGAGTTGTCATTGTGGGGCAGCCCCCTAGCCTTGGGCTGCTTGGAAGGATTGGTGCCACCCTTCCTGCCTTCTTTCCCCTGTGCTGTGCCATGCCACCAAGAGTGTTGCCTATACTACAAGCCAGCAGCTGGTGTTTCCCAACCTTGGTCCTCCAGCTGTTTTTGGACTACAACTCCCATCATCCCTAGCTAGCAAGACCAGTGGTCAGGGATGATGGGAATTGTAGTTCAAAAACAGCTGGAGGCCCAAGGTTGGGAAACACTGAACTAGCCTGCCCAAGCAGGCAAGTGAACAGTAATGTCTGTCCATAGATGGCGGGTAAGGAAGCAAGTGGTAGCTGCTGCTCCAGTCCTAGTGAGCGGCAATGGCAGCTAAGTGCTGTTCACTTGCTTTCTCCCTTCCTCTGGGTGGCAGCTGCTGTGGTGGCTCCTAGCATCTGTCATCATCACCCACCTGCCTAGGGTGTGGAGGGTGAGTGGCAGTAGCAAACAATGGTGTCGTGGGCACTGCTTGCCCTCTGTCTGGTGGAGGAAAAGGGGGAAACACCAGCACCACCTTGGTGACAGTGAGGCAGGTCATGGGGAGACATTGCAGAGAGACCTCCCCGCCCAAAAAAAATATTGTAAATTTTTATTGTTATAGAATTTTTCATATTTTGATATTAATCACGTTTGCTTTAGAATGTTGTTGTTAGTTGCTTTGGGCTTTGTTTTGCAAGGAAAAGCAGGGCACCAATATGAAATGAAAGAGAGAGGAGAGAGAAATAGAAAATATGGACCTAGCCCTATGTACACATACATAAGATGCATGTACATAAGAGGAAACAAAACCTCACGCCGTGAGGTGGAACTCAACGGGCCTACTTCTCACTGCCACTACTATCCCTGCTTCTTTCACCACCAACCATCTTTGTGCCAAGGCCTGAGTGTGCCCTCCTGAGATTGAGAATATACCACTTCTGTCACCATCAAGAGAGCTTTTCCGGGTTCTGCTACAGAGAAATAATTCCACACTACCTGGTTTAGCTCTCCAAGCGGGATTTGAATGGCAGTGGGGTGAAATGGTGGAGGTAACAGTAGTTACCTAGAGGGAAGTGCTGTAGACACTGCCAGCAACAGGAGATCACCTTCCATATCAGCAGGGAGATTTCAGCAGAAGGCATTCTAGTGATCCAGGACTCAGGTAAACAGCAGCTCCCACCCTTGAACAGTCTCTTTAGCAAGCAGCTCAAAGGAACTTAGGGGCACAGGGTGCTGGCTTCCCCACCCCACTTATCCTTCCTTTCAGATGGATGATTGGCATGTTCATCGTGAACTGAGGCCAATTAAAAATGTATTATAATTTGTTTCCACACCATTACTTTCTGGAAAAACCCTTTTTTATTTTTTTAAAAATGTGTTTTGTTTGAAAATGGCCATTTAAAAAACATTAAATAGATTGGATCCTGTGAAAACAAGTAATCCAAAGACTTCATTTGAGCATAAAAATGCTCAAATGCTATTTATCTTGGGTTTATTTTGTTTATTAATAAAATAAAAAACACATTGTCAAGCAGAACATGAAATACGAACAATAACAAAGCTTTTTGGCCCAAAGTATGTTTGAGTCAGTTAAAAACACCAACCATTTCCCCCCCACCAATGTGCTTCAATATGTCCATTGTCATACAATTTGCCATTTTTCTTTTCAAGGAGTACGGATGCTAGATGGTGATGTTACAGACATGGTAGAAGCAAAATCACTTAGCCTCAATCCCCAGCACATACACATCTACAGTGCTAGCTGGGGTCCTGATGATGATGGGAAGACAGTTGATGGACCTGCTTCTTTAACGCGCCAGGCCTTTGAGAATGGCGTCAGAACGGTATGTTTGTACACACACATCCTCTATTTGTGCATTTGGAAAAGAAGAAAAATAAAGTAATATAGTAAGATAATGAAAAATAGGTAATGTGGTACATTTTATGGTACCAGGTTTTGCTGAAACCAGGGGTAGGAGGAATCCATTAGTTCTGTTCCATAATTTTCCTGAACTAATTACTGAAAAAACCAGACATTATGAAGTACCAATGAATTGCACACTGATTACATAGTCAGCATTCCAGAAACTAGAGGCCTCTGAGCATGCCCAGGCAGCTTGGCATCATAGGAAATGAGAGTGACCTTGTTCAAAATAATCCAGTGTTGGGAGAAGTTCCTGCAATTAAAAATATTTGGCAGCTTGCTTGTCAGAGATTGGGTCCTCCATGTTGCTCTGGCAGAATCATTTTGGAGGAAAGAAGGTCTGATGTCTCTTGTTCAAGCCACACTGCAGGCCTGAGTGTATCTCAGCACATTTCCTTTAATTCTGAAAGACGCAGCATGCACGGTAGCATGCTAGCCAGACAGCAGGCTCTCACTCTGTGGCCTCCTCTGTCCTACCTGCTAAGGACTACAGTCTCCATAGATTTCTAGAGAAACACTTAATTTCTAACCATAGTTTTCAGAATCTTCCATAGCTACCTTCACAAATAGTATTCATTAAGGGGTTATCTTACTGTGACTGGCTGCATGGTTGCCCATGTCCTAGCGTTAGGCATGTGTCCCGAACATCTGAACATTGGCATGAACATTTGAAGGGAAGCTTTACATGAGTAGCTGCTTGTATAAAGGCTTCCTCATGACTGGGACTCTGTAATCAAATTCTGATAGTGTTGAAAGCTACACGCAAGCAGTCACTCACACATAGGCCCCCTTCCCATAGACATCTGTGCCAATATGTGGCTATCCCTGGGGCAGAGCAGGGGCATACTTGATGCCAGGGTGAGTGGCACAGCCCTGCTCCTCAGTAATTATATGACGACCTTCATGTGTGTAGTACTTGAAAGGGCTTACATGTGGGGCATGAAGGATAGAAGTAAAAACAAATGGATATAAAATCTCAGATAAAACCGGAAGAGCTGGGGGCGCCCTTTCATTGTAGTGTTTCAAAACAATAATGCTCTCTATTCATACATTTGCAAACTCAAATGAATGGAGTAGCCAAGATTGGAAGTGATTAACTTGCTGAATTTCAACATCATGTTTATATTTTAAAGGCACAGAGATTGCAAGCTCCCTTTGTTGCAGTAATCTGAAATCATTGTATCTTCTGTTCAAAAGAGCAGAAAGCAAGTTAAGTTAGCTAAGTTTTTAAATTTTGAGAATCCTGTGTTTTGGGGGCGACCAATCCTATGCTTTTTGAAATCTGCATTTCAGGCAAAGATTCAACAGGTACCATTTTCCTTCATGACTCTACAGCAAATGGAATTGTTGCTGTGGAAGTTCATTACTTAAGCCAGTGGTGGGGAACTTTATATATACTGTATTTATAAATTTTTATTGGATTTTACAATTTAACATTCAACACATTTATCATATAAAAGAAATGTGGTGGGAACTTTTGGCCCTCAAGATGTTAGAAGACTCCAACTCCAGTCAACCACAGCCAACATTGCCAGTATACAGGGATGTTAGAATATTTAGTCCAACAACATCTGGAGGTTCCCAGTTCCACATAACTCACCCAGCCAAACATAATCTATAATGCTAAAGTACATATCCCAGCACATATTTATTGAGGCCTTTGCTATTCCTGTTGAAACCAACGGGCTAATGCACAACTAACTCTGCATGGTCTTGGAATGCAAGTCTCTTAAAGATCTTTTCAATTCATTTTCTGGCCAAGTAAGCACTTCTCTTTTTGTTCCTTCTAGCTTAAACTGACTAATTCAACTCCCTTTTCACTGTATCTTTGGAAAAACATGCAATATGAATTGGGCTTCATGTTCCTTTAAATTCTGCCAGTTGGATTATAGTACCTGGATTTTAAAAGGAGCCAGGAGCAGTGTTTTCTAAAAATATTATTTTTTATAATTTATTTGTATATTAAAAAATTAAACTCATACAGTAAAGGTAAAGGGTCCCCTAACCATTAGGTCCAGTTGTGACCGACTCTGGGGTTGCGGCGCTCATCTCGCTTTATTGGCCGAGGGAGCCGGCGTACAGCTTCCGGGACATGTGGCCGGCATGACTAAGCCTCTTCCGGCGAACCAGAGCAGTGCACGGAAACGCCGTTTACCTTCCTGCCGGAGCGGTACCTATTCATCTACTTGCACTTTCGAACTGCTAGGTGGGCAGGAGCAGGGACTGAGCAACGGGAGCTCACCCCGTCGCGGGGATTCGAACCACCAACCTGCTGATCAGCAAGTCCTAGGCTCTGTGGTTTAACCCACAGCGCCACCTGCGTCAAAAAAACTTGTACAGTATTGACACACTATTACACATGAATACTCAGAAGCAAGCCAAACTGAGTTCAATAGCTCCCAGGTAAATGTGTATAAGTGGGTTTGCGGTTTAGACTGCAATTCTGGGCACATTTACCCCTTACGCAGGACTGCACTATAAATTCAGATTTTAAACTTATCTCCATTTCCATACTCATCAATTGATCAACTGCTTTTTCCTCTCTTAATCTTATTTAAAACAAAGATAAAACAACTACATACAAACAGAGAATCATCTCCGAATACTTCATAGAGCTTTGTCAAAGTGTGTATGCTAAAATCATCACAAATCTTAACAAACACCAAATGATACATAATAACCTCCATCACTTGAACTATTGTCCACAACTAAAAATATATGTATTGTATTTATTTCACAGATGTATATTCCACCTACCTTCCATTATGAATTGTATCGTCCATTAGGTCCTTAGGGAGTCTCCCTTTCAGTCACTGACAGACCTTCTCAGCTTCAGCTCTTTTGCTGCTCATTTCAGCCTGAACTTTAGAAATCTTTCCAGAAATGATGCAATTTGGATGAAGCATCAATGCATGGATATATTAATGCATCCATTGTTTTATTATTCATTCATTGTTACTTCGTTACTCATTCTTTATATATAGCAGATCTGAGAAGGAACCACCACATTTCCTTCCAGATCTTGCACTTGGGCTGGTGAAAGACCTGGTGCTGCCAACCCCACCATTCATGACTAGAAATTTCTCACCACCACTATTAGGAGGCAGGAGAGCCCTTGATTCGCAGCACATTGCTGTCTAATCCCAGTGTCCTCAATGGGTGTCCAGCAAGACCTTCCCTGGTGCTCTTGAGAGGAGCTGAGCCCACTGAAACAAAAATTGTGTGCCTTGAGGCTTTTTCTGCTGTCTAATTCTGGATCTGTGATTTTTACAGGTCAGTCCATGGAGACTGATGTATTCTTTGATTTGATGGTGTTTTGGGAAAGATCTCAAGGGAAATTGTGGATTTTTAAAAACTTTTATGTTCTTCCTTTTCCATGTCCCGTGGCTACCAATTTGTGCCTAATAGCCACAATGTTTTTTGTGTAAGAGTACTCTCTAGTGTGGAGTGCCATCGCTTCTTCTGTTGTTGCTTCACATGCCAGCCAGTTTGCGCTGGCGCCCACAATGCTTTTATCAAGATATAAGTACTGGTCTAAACATTTACACCTATTTTTTTTAAATCTCCATTGGACATGGTCAGTTAAGTACTAATTGAACTATTGCCAGCCGCAGAGCTAAGTCAATGTTTTCTGCAACAGAAGCCTTGCAACAGAATTCTGCTGTTTGTATCATCTGTACGTTTAAACAGGACCCAATAAATTATGATGACAGCTCAAGTCAGTAGATTTTCTCTGCCCAAGGGACATGGTTCTTGTCTTTCAAAGGAGCTCTATTTCCTTTTATTTACATTTTCCTTGCCTTGAGGTTTTCATAAAGAAAAGTAGGAAGTAAACTTTAATTAGCTGTTTGCATTCGCAGAAGCGGTAGCATACCTTATAAAGAGAAAATAGCCAGGGAACTGCAATGCCGGGGAGTTTGAACATGGAAGACTCCATGTTTTTACTCTGTGAGCAAAAAGTACTTTGTTGTCAAAGGTAAAGTTGTGAAGCATCCAGGAAAAAACCCAGTTCTGGTTGGTTCTGTGAAGAAACCTATATGAAAAGCTCCTAGGCAACTGTGGCTATAGAATACTATCCAACGTTTTCAGGTCAATAACTGGGCTGCACGTCTTCCATGCTGCATTCCTGGGCGAGTCACGTGACCCATGCCATGATCTCACCCTGAGAAAGCACTTTTTGTGATATTGCAGCACTCACAATGGCCACCATGAATTTTTTTTAAAAAATCATACATGGCTAGCTTGTTACTTTCCTCCTTCCTTCCTATTCCCTTTTCGTGCCCAGGCGGAGACCCCCCGACCCCAGGGGACACCCAGGTGGAATAATGGCTCGTGACAACGTGTTATGGGATAAAAATTGGCCACAACTTTATTAAACTTTCAGATGTAGGAAGACCTTGGCTTAGGCACTGGGCATTTATCCCTCCCGGACTCCAGCTGGGGAATCTGGGCCACATCAGGGTTAACCAATCTGTCTGGGGATTGGGCTGGCTCTGGAAGACGTATGTTGAAGCAGAGGGGGGTCCCCCCCCCATTTCACCACAACACAAGGGAGTGCACTGACAACCTTTCAGCATATGGCCAGTGACTCCCCTCAACACAATCCGTTTAACATGGAACCCTGGGATCGCCGCTGCATTTAGGGAAAGTAGACTAAAGGATTCCGCCCAAAGCCTATAACCGCCAAAGTTATGATGTTTTGCTATGAGGAAGGCGAAACCTGCCAATGAAGGGAAATTCCTTCCCGGTCCTTCAACAGCAACCATCGTAAGACCATAGCAGCGCCTGCATACCTGTAAAGAAGAAGTTCACCTGCAATAAAAGGCCTAAACGAAGGGAGGTAGGAGACTGAGAGCTCCCATGTAGGCTCCACCCCCTTTTATGCTTAAAGAGCGGACCCAACCCTTACTTGGCCCGCCC